AGACTACCTTGGCGTTGTTCGACCCTGAGAGGACGTCGAAGATGAGCGATTGCGGATGTAGGACATTGGCTCTCCACGTGATTTCAACGTCGGTTCATTTGGTGGCGTCTTGATGTAGTCTCCTCCTTGCTATGAATTCCATGGCGTGTTGGACCTGGATCGTGCGCCACTGTTCCTGCGTGAGACCAGATATGACGTACTGGTATGGCGAGCGGGCTGACCTTCTGAAGGCAGTATTGGCCAGGATTTCATCAAACGGTGGCGATGCTTCCCGCCGTGAAAAACGGTCTGTCGACATCAAGCTTGGGATCTTCCCCGAGAACGACCGCTCTCCTGGGCCGGTGGCTTGGTGGCTGGTGGTTCCGCGTCTGGTGGCTGGACCGCTCTATCTCGAGGCCGGGTGGCTTCGGGAGTCTTCGTTGCTTGGTGGCGCCGCGTCTGCATCAGGTTGGTCAGCCTCGGTGTATACAACGCGCCGTCGTGGGCCAGCTGGGAGCAGCGGTTCTTTGCGTACGGAGCTTTAGTAAGCTCGTGGCCAGACTCCGAGGTACGGCGCTGGACCCTGAGGGCCCAAGGAGTCACACCCTCGAGGGCAGCTGGAATATTACGGGAGTTGAAGCTGCAAGCGTTGGCCCCTTAGGCGGCGGCGTACGAGCAGACCCAGGTGTCCGCACCCTTGGTGTGGCTCCTGCACCCGTCGCAGTGAGGTACATCGTGCCCCTCATGTTGGGAGTGTTAAAGGTCTCGGGCAAAGCAGGGGCATGCGGTGAAGGCGCAGTTGCCCTTGGGGCAGACCCATTTTCCAGGCAGCTCATCTGTGGTGGTGGCCCGTCTGCGCCACGGGGCTTCTGGTCCCTTGGTTTCGTTGGTTGAGGGGCGACCAGGGAAGTGTTGAGGGCTTGCTCCATGAGCATGCGTGGCCAGAAGAGGGAGGGAGAGAGGGAACCAGAGAGGGAGGGAGGGAGGTAGGGAGGAGCAGGAACAGGAGCAGGAGCAGGAACAGGAGGGAGAAGAGGAAACGACACTCACACAGCGAGTGCGCAGGCGCCAGGAGGGCAGGCCCGATGAGAAGCGAAGAGTGTCCAGCCTTCCCTCGTTTCCTCCACGCTTGCAGGGGGACGGTGTGCTTGCGCGACGTGACTTTTCGACGCGATATCTGCGACATCGAGCAAGGGGACCCCGATGTCTGGAAGCGTCGTCTGGTGAAACGGCCAGGGGCAACGACGTCCTGTTTTCCAAGCTTGGGCCTCCAGAGTCCAGTTTCGTGCCCCTGGGCGATCGCAAAAACAGCTTGGGATGAGCAAGCCAGCCCCCTTGGAGCCAGCCCTCAGGCGTTCTCGCGTTCAGATTTACGACCTTGATGTCCCACCTTGCAGAGTTGCTGCTTTTTTGTCGCGGAGCCGACGGCAGCACAGTTCTGTTTTCATTCGCACACAGCCCGCCTCACGCCTGCCCCTTTGTCAACGAACAGCGGGCGCGTCAGAGATTCGAACAACATATCGTGTGTAAACATAACTTTCGGAGGTCTACGCGGATTTACGGGATCTGCGTTGGGCCCCCCTGGCGGCGCCTCCGGCACCGCCCCTGGCCCGCCCCGCACGCCAGGGAGGGTCCGACGCAAATCGAAGTGGACCTCCGATAGTTTATGATTATGTTGTTTGTTTTTTTCTTCTAGGGCGGACAGAGTGTCGCGCCTCAGCTTGGCTTAGCGGGTGAAAGAAGCACCAAGGCCGTGCGGCCAGGAAGATCTTTCCGCATTACGTTCGCATTCCCAGTGATAATGTGGAACATGGGGTCGGGAGCCTTGCCGCAATGAGCACATGGCGGCGGAGCCGCGTGGCTGGCCACGAGCTGGCGATCGTCGGCCAGTGTTCCAGCCACGACTGGGACCAGCTGTCGAACGCGGTCAGGAGATCCCTCGCGCAGGGGCCGTTCCAGGTCAGCGCACGCAGTCACGAGGTCAGCGCGCCCCCTTTCGATATTTTCGCAACGAGGATAACCGGCTGCGTCTTGCCAAACTGGAGGTGCGGGTCTTCCTGAAATCAGCCAAGAGTCCGCTCGGGCGCATCCGGGAACATTGGCCCACCCAGAGGGTCTTCACCGGGGCTTGCCAACTCCCATCGAGGGGCAGGCCTTCAGCACACATCCGGCTGAACCTCTTGCAGGGTGGCAATCGGACATCGTACCCGTAGCCAGCGAAATTCTGCGAGGGAGCCGAGCATATGTCACATCCTAGCCTAGACTCTGGTGATGCGTGGGACGGAGCTCGATGGCTGTGTCTTTATCTCGCCAGATCGGAGAGCCAACGTGGTGTTGAGACACTCCCCTGGGCCCATGCCGAGTTAGCGGCCTGCCTCAGAAACGAAGCTATGGAAGAAGGGGAGAGAGCAACAGCATGGTGCCTACGAGGTGCGTGTGGCAGAACTCCTTGGAGCCAGAGTCGTTGGGAAATAATCGCAAGCTTGGCACGATTCCGAAGATTTGAACGCATGCGGTCCTGCTCTTGGCCATCCACCAGCCCTTCACCTTTATGTGCGCACACAACAACACGTTGATTGCCCAATCGAAGACGCAGCAACGCCGTCCGACAGCAACGAAGGTCAGTGGCATTGAAAATAGGGCCGTGAGGGAAAAGGGAGGACAGAGGAAGGAAGAGTGAAGAAAGAGTAGGGAGGTCGGAGGGAAGGAGATGGAAAGACGGAAAAGAGATCAAGGAGAGGAGGATGGAGGAGGTGGTGGAGGCAGAATGAGGAGGGATGAGAAACAAGGGAGGAGAGAGAATGAGGAGAGATTAGTAGGGAGGGGGAGTATAAGCACAGATCAACCTTTCATCCAGGGATAACAGAAGCCTTCGCACATATACGAATCGAGGTTGCAGGGGCGAAGTATTTGGCATCGAGATAACACCCATCCAAATGAGTTGATTGAGAAATCGTGCGCTGGTTCACTCGGCATTGGTACTCGCAGTGTGCTGGTGCAGCCCCCGTGGGTTTCGCTAATCGACGAGTGTCTCGCAGGGTACTGTTGGTAGTTGTTGGCGTTGTTTGGCCAGTCAAGAGGCCTTCGCCATTCCGCCGACCTCCAAAAAAGAGATGAGTGCGGCTTCCGACTTCGCATGTCATCTTTGCCGCTTCCCGTCGTGCTACTTGTGTCCAGCTTTCGCTGGGGTGCCTCTGGAGGACATGTTCGGGACCTTGGGGGCAATCTTTTGGAGGACGGGTTCCGGGGCCCTTGTGGGGTCTCCCTTTGGGGCCTCTTGTGCGCTCCTCTTTGGGTCGTCTTGAGGGCCTTGTTGGCAGTCTTGAGGGCCTTTTGGGCCGTCTTGGGGACCTCTCGGGCTGTCTCCGCGCCGCTTTGGGGCCTCATATGGGCCGTCATGGGCCGGTCTGGGAGGGGCCTCGGGCAGCCCAGGGCGTGCATGAGCCCCGAAAGCCGAGAGCGCTGAAATCATTGAAAACATTTGGGCGAACATTTGTTTTACTTCTGAGACCCTCTTGGGGTCATTTTGGAGCTTTCCAGTGGCGTCTGTGGGGCGTCTGGGGCCGTCATGCGGCCACCTTGGGCCGCCTTGGAGTCTTGGGGTTGCCTTCGACCGTGTTGGAGCGCATCTTGAACGTCTTGGAGGCGTCGGAAGTTGGGTCTGGAGGCTCTGAGGGCCCACAAGGTAGGGGGACGGGCTTAGCGGCGGTCAGCAGGTTTGATTCGGGTCTACTCGGAATGTGCCGCCCGCACCCGTGGAGTGCCCTGGGCAATTTTCGCTAAAGGGTGGTTATCTAATGGTGAGTATATCAACCCTCGATGCGGAAATCTTCCGTCTGTATTTCCTTTTGGTGTCGGCCACGTTCAGAGATTGGTAGGGGGATGGGGGAAGGCTTCTTAGAAGCCCCTGCTTCTAAGAAGTCTTCCCCCCTCCCCCTACCCCCCTCTGCGCGCCGCCAGTGGTGGGCCAAGACGCGAACGAAACGCTTGAGCACGGGACACCGGTGAGGTGGTCGAGTGGGGAGTTGAGTTGAGAGGGACGAGCACGGGGCGAGCCCCAGAAACAAACAAAACATGGGAACAAAGCATGGGAAGGTGATATTTGTCTTATTCATTGTTTTGCCGATCGGCTCGGGCCCTCGCACCCCCTCCCCTCCCCAGTGGAGTAGATCTTGGCTGTTTTGGGCGCCAGTTCCGAGCAGGTGGAGTCTCTCCCATAGGACGTACTGTTGCAAACAGTTGCATGAAACAGAGGTCCCGAGCCAAACACCCCCCCTCCCCCCCCTTCTGCCCATTGCCAAAACGCCGAATAAGGAAACGTTCAGAAGACGAAGAGCAGTAGGGATGAGAAGGAGGATGTGGCCTTCCAGTCGAGACTTGTAACAAGAACGCAGTATTGTATCAAGATTGTTATTTCCTCTCTGCTTCTTTGGGTCGCGGCTTCTTTGGCCCGACGCCGCTGCGACTGGTTCATCGCGGACGTTCAGGAGGCCTTGCATCTGCACCCTTGCATTCTTGCATCTGTGGCTTTCATTTGTGGGTCTCGCGTTCTGGGGAGGGAAATAAAAAAAAGATATTGGTGACCAAAGATGTCAAAAGAAAGTGTTAAAGGTAATTGTATCCCTGGCATCTGTTTGGGTTGAACTCACTTACTCTGCTGGCGGCCGAACCTCGAGACAGGCAGTGGTCATGGTCGGCGTCGTCGCGGTCGTGGTTGGTCGTCGTCGCCCGCCGTAGCAGCCGTCGCCATCGTCAACACGTCGTCGCCGCCGCCGTCGTCGCTGTCGTCAACGCATCGTCGCATCGTCATCGTGGCGACTGTTACGTCATGCCGTGTCATTGCGCCTGCGCGCTTCTGTGTATTCCCTGATGGCGAGGAAGGGGGCCTCCCCTTGCTCCTCCTCCTCATCATCCTCGTCCTCCTCCCCCTCCCTCTTTCTCAGGCTGGGGGGGGGCGATCTGCCCGCATCGCCAGCCCTCCCTCTCCATCCTTCATCCCTTCTCCCTCCCGCCTCGAGAAGGCCAGCGACGCCAGTGGCTTCTTGTCGGAGGAGGCAGACCGCACCCTCGCGGCCCTCTGCCGGTCCGCTTCGGAGTCCCGCGGGTTGAGCGCGGTACTCTCCATCGCGGCGGACGCGAAGTTCTCCAAGAGCGTCAAGCTGCGGGTGAAGTGCATCTGGTGCTTCGCCACGATTCTGCCGCGCCTGGGGCCGAGGTGGAGAGCCGGAAAGCCCCCTTCGCACGGACGTGAGATTCGCACGCCCACGGGCAGCAGATCTCCGGACCCCCTTTCCAGGCCCCCGTCAGTGCCTTTGGCGCCGCCCGCGGCGCGCTTCGCGCGGCGGGAAGATGTGCATGGGCAACTACCCGTGAGCGACGGAAGAAAAAGGGGTCGACTGCGCCGACATTCGCGCGTAAGGCGTAAGGTTAAGCACCCTCTTCTCCACGTGGTGTGCCGCGCTTGCGGCCCGCACAAGCCGCGGCGTAAGGTCGCTACGTCTTCTCGCGTAAGACCCGTTTCTTTTCGTCGCTCACGTGAACCCTACTCCGGCAGGTCAGAATGTTGGAAAGTTGGTTGTGCTTCAGGTTTTGAAGGATGCCTGCGGCCAATTGAACTCCAGCGGGGGTGTCCCATACCCCAGCGTCGATCGGACCCGTCGGGGTAGGGATCGCAAGTGGTCGTCCGCGGACGTCCAAAGTTCATGCTTGTGTGGCTTTGTCGCTCTTCTGGAGGGCCCTCCGCGGTGCCTCTGCGGACATCGACAAGCTGGTGAGATTGTTAGGCCCCTCGCTCGGTGACGTGTCCTCCGAGGTGCGCGGAGTGGCCCGGCAGGCCGCCGCGGCCTTGCAGGCCGCGGTGGACTCGCCGGAGGAGTTCGAGCGCCTCCTCAGCAAGAATCTGGCCACGCGGGACCACGCCGCCGTGCGCCGCGCCGTGGTGGCTTCGTCTCATATTGATGCCGAGGCTCGAGGAAGAGAAGAAGCTGCATGAGCAGAACAACTGTCGAAGGCCCGTGCAGACTTCTTGCTGAGATCGGCGCTGCGTCGCCTCTGACGCCGCCTCTGGCGCCGCCCCTGGGAATCCAGCGCCGATCCCAGCAAGAAATCCTCGGGGACCTTCGACAGCTTTCATGCCTTGTGGAGTCTTTTCCTGCTCTATGGAGGCCCCAGGATCGCGCCGCCATTCCGAGTGAGGCCGAGCCCTGATGGGCCCTGCTGTTCCGCACCTGGAAGCCTACCCACATGTATGTTTTTGTTGGCCATGGCGCCACGACTAGGTACCTCCGCCGGGGGCCGCCGATCGGGGGGGAACTCTGCGGCACGGAGTGCAGCAGCGCAGGCTACGAGTGCGCCGTGCGTGCGCGATCTGCGGGCGCCGCTCGTCCAGCCGATTCCCTGGGTCACCCGCTGGGGTGGGAGCTCGAAGAATAAAGGATAGCGTAAATGACATGTTCGAAGGTCCGCGCGGGAATTCTTGGATCTGCGTTGGACCCCTTGGCGGCACCTCCAGCTTCGCACCAGGCGCGCTCCTCGCCCCAGGGAGGGGGTCCAGCGCAGATCCCAGAAATCCGCGCGGAGCTCTGGAAGCTCATGCTTACGCAGGTGTTTCTTGTAGTACGAGAGCCATCGCCGCCGCTCGCACCTCCCGCAGTCTGGGCCAGCAGGTTGCCCTTCTCCAGGGGACGTCGCGCGAGCGCGACAGTGACAGAATTGTGCCGTGTGCCCGAAAATGATTGCGTACGACGTCAATTCTCCCAGTGGGCAGGTGTCCCAAGGGGGCCTCCCTACAGGAGGCCCTTCTCACCGCGAGAATAGACCTGGGACATGCACACCAGATCGGCAATGCACTCGCGCGAATTATGTCAAGAGGCTCTCGCCAGCATGCAGGCGAAGCTTCAGCGCACATGCAAGATCATGCAAGGAATCATTGGAGAGAGAATTGAACGAGGAGCTGGGAGGATCAAATGGAGAGAGAGGGATGAAGGGAGGGAGGGGGGGAGGGAGGGAGGGAGGGGGGGAGGGAGGGAGGGGGGGAGGGATGGAGGGGAGGAGGAGGAGGGGAGGAGGAGGAGGAGGAGAGGAGGAGGAGGAGGAAGGAGTGGAGGAGTGGAATGGAGTGAAGTGGAGTGGAGCCCGTTGCGCAAGCAAGTTAGTGATGATGAAGCCTCGGACTAAATCGCTCTCGATCGCCTGATCTTCTGTTCGGTCTGGCTAAGGACTTTCGGCTTCCTGTGAGCCGCAATCCGATCGAGTTATTCCTTCCGATTCTTCTTGATAATCCCCGTGCGCGGCTTGCCCAAGAGACAAATTGGCTTTTCGGCAGTGGCCCCGCATTTCGTGCAAAACCAGGTGCGGCGGGAGGTGTGCACATTAAGGGTGTGAGACTCGGCAGCCCAGCCCCCCGCTATGTGAGCACGATTCCCCACTCTCGGAGACTTGAAACACCCACCGACGTTATATAATTCTGGGGCACGGCGTGGCCCAGCAGGCTTTCTTCATGGTGGTCTTGGTGGCCGAACAGAACAAACCAGGCATCTTGGCTTAGCGTCAGAAATCGTCTGAATCTACAAAAACGCAGCTATAGTGTTGGCCGACGGCGGAGAAGGAGGAGGGGGGGCAGTAGCAGCAGCAGCAGCAGCAGCAGCAGCAGACGTGCCGCTCGCTTTCCTCTGCTCACTGTCCTCGGCCTCCGTGGCCGACATGCTATCCAAGGTGGCGCGCAACAAGTGCAGCCGCACTTTGAACATGGGATGCTTCTGTTGTAGCACACGATGCTTGTCTGCTTCAGGTACCCGTGATCCCTCTGCCGGTGCAGCCGCCAGGTGGTTTGCCACCGCATTCCCGACGTCGAGGGCTGCAGTGCTTTTAGCCTCGGCCAAGTCTTTGGCCGTCAGGTGTGAGTCGGTGAAGACCACCGCAATCTGCCGGCCGTGGGCCTGGACACCGATCTGAAGCCACAGGTCGGCGTCCTTCTTTTCTCGGCTGACTCGCATGGCCTGCGAACCAGCCGTCTACCACGTAGTCGCAGTCCGTGACGTAGACCACGGTTCCAGTCGTGTACGTGGCCGCCAGCAGGAATCCCATGATCTCCCCGCGCACAACCACCTGCCGTGGGCATGGCGAGGCCCCTGCCACACAAGACTAAGCCCCTGGGTCCAGAGTCCAGCAGCTGCTTTATTCAAACAAGGGTAACTCCAGCTCTTTGAGTATTGGCAAATGTGTCTCGTGCTCACCGCTCGAATCGCCGAATACCCAAATAGGTGAATATTGTGTGCCGTGCCACATGCAGCCTGGGCCAATTGATACGATACCTGCGAACCATCACTGCGGCATGTCAGATGGAGGCGGCACCTCCTCGAGCGCCTGGGGCAACAGGCCACGCAGCCAATATGTTTCACATAGCTCTGCTTGTGTGGTGGCCATGGGCAGCAGCTCGTTCAACATAGAATACGCCTTGCGATCACAATATGTGTTCGTGTACCTAGCAGCGGTACAGGCGTTTTTTCCTGCTGCTTGCAACTGTCACACATGGTGTTCCCAGTATACCGAGCTAGTGAGTCCTTCTTCCGTTGCTTTGTCCAAGCACCACCCGTGGCAATGTTGAACATGATTTCCGAAAGCCTGGAGCTATGCTTCTGATGCGCTAGGTGGCCGAGAAGGGCCCGAAGCGAACCATTACAAATACAGTTCTCCATCCCTGATCCACAGTCGTTCTGGCTGGCCTTGAACAATAGGTGTATTTGGGCCGTGTCCTTGACGTCTTGCAGCGTTACCCGTGTTAGTACTGCCTGAGACGTGCCAGTCTTCCACCGTGCCGTGTGCCGAAGTGTATGACCATGCCGCTGGTGAGGAACGTGACCAGCCCAGCCTCAATCGCTGCAGTAGCACCGCAATACGACCCTGCACCTTCGCGCCTGCTCTCTGACCGACGCTTGCTGCAGTGATTGGACGATGGAGGGCCGAACATGACAGATGCTATTGCGAAGGCCTTACGGCCGGTGCCGCCGACCCTGAGCACGCCGAAGATGAAAACGAGGGGGGGCAGGGGGAGCGGGATGAGTGGGAGGTGGAGGAAGGGTGGAGGAGGTGGATGAGGGAGGAGGAGGGGGGAGAAGGATGTGGAGGAGAAGCAAGAGGAGGAGGAGAAGGAGGCGGAGGAGAGCAGGAGGAGGGGGAGCAGAGGGGGAGGTGAGGAGGAGGAGGAGGAGGAGGAGGAGGAGGAGGAGGAGGAGGGAGGAGGAGGAGGAGGAGGAGAGGAGGAGGCCAGAGGCTTTCTTGGGACAGCCTGGGGCTCTCTTGAGGCCGTCTTGGGCCGTCCAGGGCTCCTCTTGCGCCGTCTCGAGACACTCTTGGAGGCCTCCTGGGCAATTTGGGGCCCTCTCGGGCTGTCTTGGGGCCATCGTGGAGGCGTCTTGGGCGCTCCTGGGGCGATCTCGGGGGCTTCTTGAGCTGTCTCGGGCCGTCTGCACGCCAACAAGGAGCAAATCTCGAGAAGCATTGGAAAACATACAGAACATCTATATATGTTTCGTTTTGGGGGGCCTCCCAGGAGATGTCCTTGGAAGCTTTTTCGGCCGTCTGGGAAGACTCTGGCGTGGGTGAGAGTCCTGAGAAATGCGTGCTGGGGTGTGTTTCGAACGCTCTTGTGGGCCGCTGGGGGGCCGTGTTGGGCCTCTTCGAGGCTTGAGGGCCTTGGGGCTGGAGGCGTTGTGGCCCGTAATGGGGCCCTCGTGGACCGTTTTAGAACTCTGTTGGAGGATTCTTGGGGCGATCTTGGGGGCCCGTGGGGTTGTCTGGGAGCTTCGGGGAGCGAAAGAAACGAGAACGCAGGAATCTGTGAAAAACGGACGAGAATATAAGGATTTTGCTTGTTTGGGCCTTCGTGGGATTGCGCCTGGAAGCAGTTTGCGCCGTCCTGCAGGCTTATGGGGGCCGTCCAGAGGCTGCGAAGGCGTCTTGCACAGATCGTTCGGCGATTCAACGTTTTCTTGAACTGTCTTGAAGGCGTCTCGGGCCAATCTTCGCTCGTCCAGAGGCCTTTGTGAGCCCCGGGACCCGTCCCTAAAGAGGAACGACGACGGCGGCGGCGGCGGCGGTAGCGACGACGACGCTGATGTGGGTTGAGTCTTCAGGGGTGCTTCTTGGGGTCTCTTCCGAGCGCTCTCGTGGGGGGCAGTTTGGGGGCCCCTTGGGAGCCTCTTGGGGCCTCTTGGGGCTTCTTCGGGGCCTCTTGGGGCTGAGGACTCGAAATGTCCGTTCGGGTCCCCCGTCTGGGCACTCTCCTGGAGCCGTCTTGGGGGCCTCTTGGGCCGTCTCGGAGGCGTCTTGGGCCGTCTTGGGGCCCTCTTCGACCGTTAGGGGACCCTCTTGGGGGCCTCTTGGGCCGTCTCGGGGCGATCTTGGGAGCCTCTTGGGCCGTCTTGGCGCGCCGGGAAGCAGAAGAGGCAAGAACGCCAAAATCTGTCAAAAATGTGTTTGGGAAATCCGTGAATTTTGCCTCTTGGGGCTCTCGTGGGAAAGTTCCTGAAGGCCTCCTGGGCCGTCTGGAGGCCGTCAAGGCGTCTCGGACACATCATTCGGCGACTCGGGTTCTCTTGGACTGTCTTCGGGGCCTCTTGGAGCATTCTTGGCCCGTCTCGGGGCTTTTTTGGGCTCCGGGACTCCCCGCGGGGGCGTCGTATATGATCACCCCCCCGGGAACCCCCCAGGGGACCCCCCCCTGGCGGGAGGGATCGAAGGGAAGGGGCTTCCCGTCGACTCAATTACGACGTTGTTCAACTTCGAGGAGGTCCCTGGGAAAGGGGGAGCTTCGACGAGCCCAGGGAAAGAGGGAGGCAGCGAAAGGGAAGACAGAGACGACGACCAACGAATGACGGAGATGACGACTTGAACGGACAAGCCCCTCACACACGCCGGCAGGGTCGGCGGATTCCTCGAATGAAGATGTGACTGCCAAATCTCAAGTCGCTTTTGTACAGTGCGCGCGGTGGTGGCGATAGCGGGATCCAGACCATGCCCACGTAGATCCAGTAGCGCAGTGAGGCAGCGGCCTGCCGTGCGGGCTGCGCACGACGCCAGCAGACGCCGACGGCATTCCGACACCTGTGTGCCGAGCACCCCGTGGACAATGGAAATTGCACGCTCCCGCCAGTTAGGCCCCTGCCTGCTCCAGCTGGGGCACCTGCTGGTACTTCCTGGGCGCCCTCGCGAACCTGCTGATCTTGCCGTTCATCTGCCTTCGCGAACCTGCTGAGCTCGGCGTGCATCTGCGTGCGCGCGTCAGCCCTCTGCACTCGCCTAGCGCGGCCGTGCCGGCCGCCGCTGAAGTCTACGCCGAGATGCGCAACTAGTTTGACGACTCGGATGTGAAACCGTCGAAGCCGAACAGCACAGGCCACCGCGACGGCGCCCTCCGTCATGGCGCACATGACGACCGACTTCGGACATACTCGAAGCTACCGCATGGCCAGCACCTTACCAGCGTCAACTATGTACTTGATCAGGCTGTGGCGCGCCGCCTCCCTCGAGCCTGCGACTGTCTGTGAACTGTCATCGACCCACAGTTTATGGCCCATGCGCGGACTGGACGCGGCGACGGCATTCGCTGCGAAGTATGCCGCTGCACGAGCGGAGCGGGTCCCAGATCTTAAGCCGCGGGTCGCACTGCGGCCCAGCTCGGATGGCCGCGCCGCCCTGCAGCAAACAGTTGCACATGATACACTGGATGAGCTCCAAACACAGGATGACGGGCGGGAAACCCATTCCCAGGGCCGCCCTGGCCTGCAAACCCCAAGGCATAGACTTGTAGAATTGCTGAACATGGCATGTCCGAAATTCGTTTTCGTCGAACGCTCCAGCTCGTCATCGACGGCACGAAGGCGCGCTTCTTGAAGGCAGGAATTGCCTTACACAACTGCATCCC